ATAGAATTCCGGGAGTTGGGATTTTTTTATTGGAAATTTCCTCCTCTTTCAGGATCTTTTTTCAAAATTCCTTAAATATCATTATTTTAGAAATTATTAAGGAAAAACCAAATTCCTTTTTTTTTAAATCTTATTTTGTTTATAACAATCGCAATTTTTTATGTGCTAATAAGCCCTTAAAAAACATTTTTGTAGACATTCCGCATCCAATGAGCTATCGTACATATTTTTAGGAGCTTTATGTCTATTTAACACGTTTTTGAACTTGTTGACTAGACTATTTGTTGCGTGGGTTGATGCGAGCGTGAAGCAGGGAAAGTTTGATTAGACGATGATGATGCGGGCGACAAGTGACACGAGGATGACTAGGCCCGATGACGCCCGCGTCCCTCCAGCGACGGCGCGGCGCAGGCACGCGGGGAGGGGGCGCGCGTGTGTGGGTCGCAGAGCATCTTGTAATGGAGCACTCATTGCGGTTAACTGAGATAATGCGACGACCTTAATTATGCAATGCGGATCTCCAGCTCGCTCGCTCTCCGCGGCGCTCCACTCAGACGAACAACAACATTTATAGACCAAGCAGAGCCACTTGATGAACTTCCTCTCGCCGACTTCGCCGCGACCCACGGCGCTGACCACACGCGACCACATGCTGGACCTACGCCTTGTACAGAGACGATCCCTGGATGATCGTTTATTCAAATATTTGTAGAAGGGCGGGGTAACGAATTTGTTGTCGATTGAATTTTTTATCATTACTTGAGGTCCGTCATCCGTGGCAATAAGTATTCATTTTCCATTCTCTCGTCAAGTTTCTTGCTCTGTTGACTTTAGGGAGAGTTGGACATGGTGGCGCGGTGGCGTGTAGCTCAAAGCTACATACGTAATACATAATGTAATTTCTTCGATAATATTGATTATTACACAAGAAAGTAATATTTTAGAATATTTCCAGATCAACGAATTGTGTTCGAATAATCAAATAACTGAAATGTGCTTGAAGTGTTAGGAAATCGAGGAGCATCCCAGGAACTGTCATTTGCTTTCGTTTGCTAACGTCAAGAGAAGATTGCTAAATTGTTCTAAGACAACAAGCGTGTTTTGTGTACTCAATATTTCTCTTAAGTCGATCACCTATTCGCCCCTATGATGTCTGACGATGGTGTTAATAATGCCGTTTTTCCGATATTTAAGTAAAATAAGAAATGCACATACCTAATAAGAAAATATATTTTAAAAAAAACTACTAAGTTGTCCGTGACCACGAAAACTGTACAACTTTCTAAACGTCGGAAATAATATATTGACAATAAAAAACGTGAAATTAAACCATAATAGGTAGCGGTTTTAATTATTAACCCGCTGAGTTTCTTTCGATCTTTGTTCTCAGAACTGTAGTCTTATTTTTGGAAGTGGTAGTAGAGGGAGCATGTTTGATATTCTACAAGTAGATATGTATTGTAGATATGTATTGGTGACATTTTTACCTATAGGTATACAATAAATGTTGTGTTAATATGTAGGTACATTTGAAGCAGAGGTCAGATTGCCGATGGATGATGTAAGACGGGAGCGCCGCCTATTGTCCGACCACACAATGAGGCGAGGCCTGCGTCCGAACTTGCTCTGCGGTCTCACACCGGGCGCAGGTACAACCGTAGAGTATTTATTACCTTCGAACCGCACAGGAATCAACTTGATACAAAAAAAAATACAGTTAGTCAACAATGAACAACCAAATACACCCCGTACTGGTACTCGAACTGCCCACTGGAACAAAACTTGATCAATACAACCTCGGTCATCAAGACGGGCGGTGTCTGCGGAGCCCCGGGTGCTGGCGGGGGCTGGCGGGGGCTGGCGGGGGTGGCGGCGGTATACTCACGCGGTGTGACACGTACCTACAATCCGTCCTATACTACTCGTATAAAGCGTTAATATCAAGCGCTAATTAATGTCGTCTTCCTGTCGCCTTGGTAATCTGTTTGTCACGACTCATTCTCTTATCCAATTATTTTAATATAATTATATATATCGGGGCAACAATACTATAATTAGTTAAAATGAACTGTTTCCTTAACGTTCATATTACTATAATAGTTAACTATTATAAGTCCAACGAATGTAAACCTTTTTTACGTTATTCAAGAACATTCATTAATAAATAAACTAGCCCGCTTTTCTGCTATAAATAAGAGTGACTATTTGTTGAATTTCATCAAGTAGTTATATACCTCTTGGGAGTCCGCACGGGTAGGCACCACCACCCCGCCTATTTCCGCCGTGAAGCAGTAATGCGTTTCGGTTCGAAGGGTGGGGCAGCCGTTGTAACTATACTGAGATATTAGAACTTATATCTCGAGGAGGGTGGCGCATCTACGTTGTAGATGTCTATGGGTTCCAGTAACCACTTAACACCAGGTGGGCTGAGAGCTCGTCCATCCATCTAAGCAATAAAAAATAAAAAAAACCTGCTGCCTTAATATAACGGAGAACTACTTAATACATAATTGTTACCGCTTATAGTTAGAACAGTAACTGCTGGCTAGTTATCAATACATTTCACGTAGGTACCTACATAACAAATATAATCTATACTATATTTAATATTCTAAAGCTAAAGAGTTTGTTTGTTTGTTTGAACGCGCTAATCTCAGTAACTACTGGTCCGATTTCAAAAATTATTTCAGTGTTAGATAGACCATTTATTGAGGAAGGCTACATAACATCACGCTAAGAACAATACAAGTGGAGCACCAATAAATAATGTTTCAAAATCGGGTTTTTTTTTCCTTATTGAGAGCTTCCGCTGCGTGCGCTGCGGAAACGGTTAAAGTTTCGCTAAAATAATGTATTACAGAATTGTTCCCTTCCTTCCTCCCCTTTAAAAGATCTCAAAAAAAGTCCGCGACAGCATATGTCTATATGTTAAGGTTGGCTCACTATAACTTTTTTTATGCTAACCAAATTTGTTCTAAAATAAAGCATTATTTGTGAATGTGTTTTTATGAAGATTATAGTAATCCCTATCCAAACAAATACGTTATTCATTACAACATTGAAACACCCAATTTGCTTCAAGATAGGCTTTGACAATTATAGATTTTTCTGGATTTCTCCAGGATCCCATCATCAGATCTTGATGATTACAGGACCATTCGGGAAGATAAAAAAAAGAACAAAAAAACGTTTTTTTTATCAGAATCGGTTCAAGTATTTTCGAAAAATCGGTGAACATACATAGATAAAAAAATTATGGTCGAATTGATAACTTCTTTTTTTCAAGTCCAAGTCAAGTTAAATTGCTCCTTAACATTCTATTATTCAAAAATGTTTTCACTTTCTACGTAAATGAAGTCGCGGGTAAAATTTAGCATTATGCCAGAGTAACTATTCCACGCGGACGAAGTCGCGGACAATAGCTAGTGAGTAATAATTGTGGTTGAGAACAATCGATCGTGTCACAACAGACTACCACCACGGACAAATAGGGCCAGCGACCGCCGACCAGTCCTGAGAAGAACTAGCGAAACAAACTAACTAAATATAGCATGTACCTACTCTATTCACAATTTACTTACTTCAATTGTAAAAAAGTTGTTAAAGACTGGGCTGCTTGCTCATTTGCAAATAAAACGAGCGATGTGCCGAGTGGATACAGTTAATTTATGTACGTAAGTAGGTGTACAGAAATTGGATCGTGTGTGTTATTATCCACACAACGCACGCCACTTCAATATAAGGGAATGGTTTTCGCGTGTCACAAACAAGATTTAGATGTTCCAGTTTACTTTTTTCATAATAATTAACCTAAAGACAAAACTAAATCCCGCACCGGATCTACTTACTCAACGGGTCGCGATTCCGATCCGGTAGTAGAATCAACCGGAGTGATGCTAATACTGACCCTAGCAAGAGCAGTGCTTCGCAGAATCTACCACCAGATCGGAAACGCGACCTACTGAGAAGATCCGGCGAGAAACTCAGTGGGCTGTGTCTATGGGTTAATTCGCTCGTCGAGCCAGCCCTTCGACGAGGACGGTGCCGGTGCTTGTAACCTAAAAGCACCGTTAATGGATCGGGAGGATCCGTAATGACGTGAAATTCAACGAAGTACTGCTCTTGCTAGGGCAAATGGCAGCAAATTCTCTCAGGCCAAGAACACCCGTGAGCTTCGCCTACCGGTCCAGCGAAACGAAGAGTAACCGCGAAGGCGGTAGCAAAATAATAATATCAATAAATGCGTCGAATTAGGCCTCCCGCTGTCCATGTGGTCCGGGAGAACTAAGCGGGACCGACATACGCGTCTTTCCTAATTGTATAATTAGGTAAATTTATTTGAAATAGGCATTACATAAAAAATATTATGTTGATTGTTGACTGTTTTTACTTTTTAATTGTCTTTATAGCTTACTTTCTGAACGTGTAGATAGGTATTGGGTAAGACTAGAAGTTCGATCAAACGATAGGGGTAAAGAATGAACTCACATCCTTGTCCCACTGGAGTCGATAGGGGATTTCGTGTCCGAAGGGGAAGTCGAGATGGCAGTTCATGACGGCGTACCCGCCGACGGAGGCGTGCAGGTGCTCTGCGTCGAGCGGCAGCAGCGAGGCGCGGCTCGGCGGCCACAGCACGGCGCCGCTCGCCATCAGCGCCAGTGCGGCGGGCACTAGCTGTACTCGCATGCTGGCCGGTCCGCGCGCGCCCAGCGACTGACTGACTGCGCGTCTGTGAGCGCACCGCGCGCCGGAAGCGTCGGTAATGCGCGCGCGCCGTTTATCTCTCCTTCGACCTCTTTCCGTTCTTTACAAAATAAATAGCCAGTTTAATTTCTGCTGCGACCTAGTGCCTGATTCCTGCTGGACGTTCCAGACAATCGTTTGACGCAGCGCGCACATTCATTTTTCAATTTGCCCTTTCCAATTGCGCAGTAAGCTCCTGCGTGTGAGCGTTTACTCCCTTTATTTGTCAGTTCTCTCCGTACTAGTTTGTAGACTACGTGACATTTGATGCGAAGTAAATTGTGAGTTTCTATTGCTCATTGTGCTCTCCTAGAGTCTTCTCTACCAGCCGACTTTCTGTGATTACATTTCCGAAGCCGCAATATTTATAAAATAGAGGTACTACTGGTAGTACTGGTGGGGGGGTGAGACGGGGGAAGTTTTTTTTTTCCTACCTAAGCTGATGGTTTAGAGAGACCATATTAGCGTCACCGGGCTAATGGGTGACCTTTTTTTTTTATTGCTTAGATGGGTGGACGAGCTCACAGCCCACCTGGTGTTAAGTGGTTACTGGAGCCCATAGACATCTACGACGTAAGTGCGCCATCCACCTTGTCCACCTGACGGGGCTTATACCTGACGATGTTGCTAACACGAAACCTAGCAACAGCAGTGCTTCGCAGAATCTACCACTGGATCGGAAATGCGACCCACTGAGAAGATCCGGCGAGAAATTTAGTGGAGTGTGTCTGTGGGTTCATTTACTCGACGAGCCCTTCGCCGGGTTCGCCGAGTACTAGCGCGGCCAGCACCGGCCAGCGCTGGTAGCCGCTGTGTGGCCTACGAAAGGAAAATATCTCCAAATTGAGATCCTCATTAAAAGTAATAATGCTGTGTAGTATATTTAATTATTACGTTTTGCTTTTTGTCTTTATACAATTATAAATAGATTATAATTTTATCATAAAATCTTAAACAATAAAAAGGCTTATTTTGGGATTCACACTGCCATTGCAGCACTTAACTAATGGAATAACATTCAAGAATGAATCACATAACCTACACCTAATTGATAAATGCATACAAGTCTAGTTGTGGTTCACACAGCGCCTACAATTTTCTGAGATATTCTTAATATTCTACTATCACTTACTAATATTTGTTCACTATAAATTTACATTTATGTAGCCAAATAAGAATGTTTAAGTATATTTTAATGAATTTTTGTTAACAGTGTCTCATTATGGCTCTAACTGTATGGTTACAGACTTGGTTAGTTTACAGATAAAAGTGCTGCAGCAGATGATGACCTAGAACTCAGCCCTGCATGATGAGGTGAACAAAGTTCTCATAGTTGATATTTCCCTGAGAGTCTTCTTGTCCCTGCAGGAGTTGCTCTACCTGCAAAAATAAATATGTAAGCCTTTTAGATCATATTATATTTATACAAATCAGTAGATTGTTCAATGATTCAAGTATGTAAGAAATAACCTCATCATCACTAAGCTTCTCTCCGAGAGTAGAGAGCAGGTGTCGCAGTTCCGCAGAAGAGATGAACCCATTGCCATCTTTGTCAAAATGGCGCAGACCCTCAATAAAGTCATTAGCAGTGTCGCCACTGCGTGCTTTCGATATGGCCTACAATCACAGAAACAGAAAGGAAATTATTTACAGTTCAAAATAATCTTGGTACATTGTGTAATTTCTTATAAAATATTTCAAAAACTGGACTGGATTGAAATTTAGTAATTTTATTACTAGCAATTTTATTACTATTTTAGAAGTCGTCGTGGCCTAACGGATAGGACGTCCGATGCATTCGTGTTGAGCGATGCACCGATGTTCGAATCTCAGGCGGGTCCAATTTTTCTAATGAAATATGTACACAACAAATGTTCACGATTGACTTCCACAGTGAAGGAATAACATCGTGTAATTAAAAATGAAACCCGCAAAATTATAATTTGCGTAATTACTGGTAGTAGGACCTCTTGTGAGTCCGCACGGGTGGGTACCACCACCCTGCCTATTTCTGCCGTGATGGAGTAATGCGTTTCGGTTTAAAGGGTGGGGCAGCCGTTGTAACTATACTGAGACCTTAGAACTTATATCTCAAGGTGGATGGCGCATTTACGTTGTGGATGTCTATGGACTCCAGTAACAACTTAACACCAGGTGGGCTGTGAGCTCGTCCACCCATCTAAGCAAATAAAAAAAAAAAAACATTTTACTGTAGCACAACATGGTACAGAATGTACATACATATATTTAAATACATTAACAATATCTATATCATTACATTTTTTTATAAAACACTACTCCCAATTAAGCATTTTAAAGGTTTACTGTCTTTAGAGAAGCAACTGAAAGTCTCAGTAGTAGTTTAATAGAGAACAACATTGCTTAAAAATTGTCTGGGTGGTAGTGTGAAGCAGTAATTATGTAAGTAAATAAATAATGCACATTGTTATTTATTTTGTCTTGAAAATGCTCTGAGGAGTGGGGATCTGGCATAATCATTGGCATCATTCAATGTGAGTATAATGAGGAACATGTTCATTAGGGCAGGTGCAGATGGCCAACAATTGTTGTTGTTAGATAATTATCTAATTTAGCATAGCATTATAGCACTGTAATTGTCTTTACGAAAAATATTATTTCTTAAGTTTTCTGTGATATAGCATTTTAGTATAATATGAACTTATGAAGACAAATGTTACAAACAACTAGTCTATGAACTTACAGTAATCCCTATAACACAGTACTCGTAAGGTGACATTTGTATACTACTTCTGTACTATGAAATTTATTATGATTTGTATAGTTCATAATTAATTTTCTGTATCTTTACACATTGTGTCAATGGTGCTGTTATAAAATTAAATAATTTTATGATATTTGTTTGACTGAAAAGTATAGAAATAATGAGAAATGCCAAATGTGAATCATTAGTACATAACATATTTTCAAGGGTCATAGAAGTATGTTTTACCAGAGGACTCCTAAAACTCATTTTCCTACAATGCAGAACCAACAAAAAGAGAAGAGAACAAACTTTAGAATTATATTAGGTGAACAAACAATATGGTTACAAAAACAACTTATGGTTGGAAAAAACGAATTTGCCATTACTTTTCAGATTCTTTGTGAAATATACTATATATGTTTTAAAGTATCAAAACTAACAACATTTTGAATACAGTTAAAAGCCTTATATTAGGTAAATACTTAGCTTTTTTCATATATGTACCTGGTAAATTGGCAGAAACACCTCAAAAGATATCCTTTCATCAGGTTTAAGATGAAGAGTACATTTTTTCACATCTGACTCTGTAGGATTTTGTCCTAAAGCTCTTAACGCATCTCCGATCTGAGCGACATGTATCTTTCCATCTCCACGAGAATCGAAGAGCTGGAAGGCTTCTTGAAATTCTAAAACCAAACAATAAAAAAACTTTATTTGAAAGTAATACTAACAAGGGCTAAGGGACTGCGTTACAGATGTTTATATATATTTATACCATCAACTGATGTGAGTTTAAGTTTAGAAGGTGCCTCGTACATGAACATGTTGCGACGCGCGAAACTATACTGCCGTAGCGAAGGTTACCTCAGTGAACACCTGCTAGCTGTTAAACACAAAACCTTATAAGGTAAGTAGGGCGCTTGCAGCGACCGCCGGTTTTTGTAAGGATGTTGATTGACGTGAGTCACGGAACCACGCCCTCCGCGGTTGCTGTTCTACACTGACACTTACACAAAGCACGGTTCACCACCTCTGTTTCTCGTTTTTCACTATTCATTTAAACTAATTGCGGAGTGCAAATAGTGACCCACCTGCCAATTGATCCTCTGAATATCCAGCCTGAAAACATATTTTCAGTGGTTATTGAAAAACATTCAAAGGAATGGAACAATCGTGACATTTACCTACTTACCATATTATGAATCTACAAATGAAATTGAAGGTAATGAAATAGGTATATTTAAAGGCTGCGACTTATCGAAGAGCAACAAAATATAGGCTTTTTTTTGATGATGTCGACGATTATCTAGTTTAAGTGCATTATCTATGTCAACGATGATGGATGGACCACAGATATAAACACATGCGCAACGCAACACTAGGAACGTCGAAAAAAAATACGATAAATCGATATTTTTAAGCTAAATGTCATGTTTCGATTTATCGGTTAAAATTCAAGTACCGAAGGTATATACGGTAATACAAATATTTTATTATAGATTCCTTCATATCAGATTTCTCGAGGCGTAGACTTTAAAATTACTCCTACGGCGTTCTCGCGTTTTTTTATGTTATTATATTAGAATAGAAGACTTTACAGTTTTCGTGACGGAAGTCAATCGTCCTTGATCGTGAAATGCAATTTTGTTAGAATAATAAACGAAAACTAAAGGTATTTTATTTTGAAACAATAAATAAATTATCGTTATTCTTAAGTTCAAATGATTATTAGTTTGAAATAATAAAAAAGTCTGTTATGTAATTAGTATTTCTTTAGTATTGTTTTTGAATGCTATTTTTTTCTTTCACGCTACACGGATATATTGATATAGTATTCACCAAAAATGTTAATATGAAAAGAACGTTTACAAAAAAATCGATTCAAATCTAGCGATTCTTTTCGTCTTCTACGTTCCTATTTTTATCCCAACACACTTTGTCATTTTTGTTGGATTTTTGAAGATCTTTTCAAATTAGCCTGTGAAAATCGATGGTCACACATAGTCCTTAGACACAAATCTAGACAAGAAAGTCTTTTTTTAGCTTAGTACATAGTAGTAGCTTTTAAAAATATTATCTCAGACCAACATTTTATGAACAAAAGGCAATGAGGTACAGTAACGCTAGGTATCCTAATATATATTTATAAGGACTATCAAAATTTTATTCCTCTGTTATAATAAATTACACTCTATAGAGAGTGTAATTTATACATAGGTATACATAGGTATATTATTAATAACGGAAATGGTTTTCGTTAGAAATCGCATCACTAGAGAACCTAAGTTCGTCAATTTGGTGTTATGAAGGATAGAACTAAGGAGCGCACTCTTGTCTAATGCCGGCCACTGACATGCGCGCAAATATTCGTACATTGTACGAATGTTTGCGCGCATGTGAAGGGCCGTCAAACATTCATTCGCAAACCTAACGGCTGTGCAAATGGGTTCGCATACTCAATTTGGGAACCCGTTTGCGCTTCCTCCTACACTTGTTTACGAAGTCTCACGAATTTCTCCTCCTTTTTAATTCGTCAATAGAACATTGAAGAGAAAAAGAGTTTTTAATTCTTTCCCAGACATCATTAACAGCCATGCTGTTTTTATGGGATTTCTTTTGATGAAGATACGTTACACAGTAGACGTCACGAACTATGAAAATGGCGTATAGTATACGTCCGTTACCTTCGCAATTGTCGGGGCAACTGGGCAAGCGAATGTGTGGGAGACTACGCGAAGGTTCGAGGTTCGCGCGCTTTGATGTCTGTTAAAAAACCGACACAGCTTTGAAAACCACGAATGCAGCGGAAACTTTGCATAATCATTCGCAAATGTCGTCCTACACTTGTGGGTTTGCGTATTCGTGCGCAAGTGAGTGACCGGTGTAAGGAACAAGTTTTTTATTTTTATTTTATTGCCTTTGTAGGCAGACGAGTATACGGCCCACCTGATGGTGAGTGGTTACCGTCGCCCATGGGCTTCAGCAATGCCAGGGGCAGAGCCAAGCCGCTGCCTACTGCTTAATACTCTCCACAAGCCTCGTTTGAAGAAGGACATGTCATAGCGCTCGGAAACACCGTGGAGGGGAGCTCATTCCATAGCCGGATGGTACGTGGCAAAAAAGATCTCTGGAAACGCACTGTGGATGACCGCAGTGGCTCCGGGTAGTATGGATGAACTCTACTCCGGTGGCGGGCGGTGCGATGGTAAAAACGAGACGTTGGTAGTTGAAAAAGTGTCCCCCTGTAAACAGCAAATTTAAGTTCAAAAATTCACTGAAATAGCGCTAGTGTAGGAAGTGGAAATGGTATGAATATAGCAGCTTTAAACAGAGTGAGTGAACTGAGTGAAGAGTGAAGTAAGGAACAACATCTCACTGCATAAAAAAATGTTCGCTGAAAGGGAGCCAATTAAGGTGGCACCATAGGAACAAGGCTTTTTAAAATAGCGCCTTAGACTACCTTTTTTTATTGCCCTTGTAGGCTGACGAGCATATAGCCCACCTGATGGCGAGTGGTTACCGTCGCCCGTGAACGTCACCAATGCCAAGGGCAGAACCAAGCTGCTGCCTACCGTTAAGTACTATCCACAAACCTCGTTTGAAAAAGGACATCATAGCGCTCGGGAAACAGCGTGCAGGTGAGCACATTCCAAAGCCAGATGGGATGTGACAAAAAAGATCTTTAGAATACTTTTGGATAAACGCAGTGGTTCTAGGTAGTATGGATGAACACTATTCCAGTGACGATCGGTGTGATAGTAAAAACGGCATGATGGAATCATCTGAAACGATTTCACAGAGCAATACCCATGGAACATACCGTATTAAATACAAAGAAAACCTGAGGTCTCTCCCCAGAACCCAGAGGTTTTTTTTTTATTTTTTTTTATTGCCTTTGTAGGGAGACGAGCATACGGCCCACCTGATGGTAAGTGGTCACCGTCGCTCATGGACGTCAGCAATGCCAGGGGCAGAGCCAAGCCGCTGCCTACCATAAAGTACTCTCCGCAAGCCTCGTTTGAAGAAGGACATGTCATAGCGCTCGGAAAACACCGTGGAAGGGAGTTCATTCCAAAGCCGGATGGTACGTGGCAAAAAAGATCTTTGGAAACGCACTGTCGATGAACGCAGCGGTTCCAGATAATATGGATGAACTCTGCTCCGATGGCGGGAGGTGCGATGATAAAAAGGAGATGAGGGAATCATCTCGAATAATTCCTCAGAGCATTCCCCATGGACCATGCGGTATAAAACACAGAGAGAACCGAAGTCCCTCCGTAGACCCAGAGGTTCCAAGCGATCCGCGAGAGCAGGACTATCGACCATCCGAACAGCCCGTTTCTGTATGGAGTCAAATGGAAGTAGCTGGTATTTGGGAGCCCCGGCCCAGAGGTGAGAGCAGTACTCCACGCGAGGTCGGACCTGCGCTTTATAAAGCGCAAGTCTCTGTCCAGGCGTGAAATACCGCTTCGCTCTGTTGAGAACTCCCAACATTTTAGAGGCCAATTTGGCTTTACCTTCCAAATGACTCCGAAACTGGACATCGCTCGAAATATCGACCCCCAGAATCCCGATACTCGCGGAAAGCTGCAGGGATACTCCTTGAAATTCCGGCGCCATGACAAAAGGGTCCTTCTTCGCAGTGAACGCGCAAACCTGTGTCTTCAATGGGTTGAACTGAACTGAATTCAGTTCACCCCACTTGGAGACCCGCCCCAGAGAGTTCTCCACTTCAGACACAAGTTTTAATCGCCTCTCGTGTACAACGCTTCGAGAGAGACTCTGATGGCCGATATATCGCGCATCCCCCGTGCTATCATCCGCATAGCAATGCATGCCATCAATAGATAGCATGTCATTGATATGCAGTATGAAAAGCGTGGGAGAGAGAGATTCCAAACGATCCGTGAGAACAGGATTATCGACAATCCGGCCCTCCTGTTCTGTGAAATTTCACTTCAATACATTCCAGCACACTTCATTCTGTTTGAAACTGCTTTAAAAACATTTCCACTTCCTACTCTAGCGCTATGCCGGCGTTTCTTCCAACAATAATTTGCTGTTTACAGGTAGACATTTTTCAACTTGTCCCGTATACGAGATGGTGCTCCTTACTCCTTATCTCTACCATTTATAGGAAAAACAGTAGCAAGGCACTTTTGTAATTTTTCAGTCGTTCAAAAACATTACAAATTCAGATTAAGTTTGTATACTTCCAAAGACTAAATCTTTCGCAGCAGTGGCGAAATTAACCTGTTAAAGTAATATGTAGTGTAGTTTATAATAAGATTGTTCTATTAAAACTTCATAGATTTACAGTTCTGTAATTACACAGAAAGGACCTAAGAAATAAAAGTTAAGTAAAATCTAAAGTCAGCTGTGGAGCCGTTAGTCGCACTCAAAGTAAAACTTTAACTTTAAATTATAGCACTTACATAAGAATTTGTGGATATTTCACGATTTGTAACATCATTACTAACAAAATTACATGGAAATACTCGTAAATTAAATTATGGAAGTATTATTATTCCAACACTTGAATATACGATAAAAAAAGGAAAAATATTTTGATCTAGCTCTTGGCTATCAGGGCTTGGCTATCTACGTACCAGCTGTATATCGATAAAGCCAAGAAGTTACTATTCATAGCCATAACATTACCTATTAGACATGTGGCTAATTATCAATACACCAATAATTCTTTAAAACACGGTTTCTCGATTTTAATGTATATATATATACTAAACTTATAAATTTTAACAATATATTTGACGAAAGGTAACACAAATTTGAAATAGCGCGTTTATGCTAACTGTCAAGCTTTCGTTGAAAGTTGGCCACCATTCTTAATATGTTTATGATCTGTGGAAATATATAACTGAAACTGAAAGATATAGGGGGACTTTTTGGCGGGAACGCGAAGTTTATTTTGTCCATTTAGTGTTTCTTCAGGTTTAAATGTGTAAGAACGGTGGTTTATTAACGGTTTGGTATCTGTGAAAGTCCACAAATGTGGGAAAATGAAACAAAGCCGTTGGATAACTTCTCTGGATCCTCCACAAAGTCCACTGAAAAAATCTCAGTAAACGACCACCATTTTACTGAGATTAAATTTCATCCCATTTCATTTAATTTCATCCCAGTTGATTAATGTCTCAAATTCTTCATTTCATTAACGGCCGTCTGGTGTAGTGGTAAGTGACATGGTCACTACACAAGGGGGTCGCGGGTTCGAATCCCGCCAAGGGAAGATATTTGTATGATAAATATAAATGTCTTTTCCAGGGTTATGGATGTCTATTAAATATATGTATGTGTATAATAAAAATCTTACATTTATATCCGTTATCTGGTACCTGTAACACAAGTTCTTTANTACACAAGGGGGTCGCGGGTTCGAATCCCGCCAAGGGAAGATATTTGTATGATAAATATAAATGTCTTTTCCAGGGTTATGGATGTCTATTAAATATATGTATGTGTATAATAAAAATCTTACATTTATATCCGTTATCTGGTACCTGTAACACAAGTTCTTTACGAACTTATCACGGGACCAGTTAACGTGGCGTGATTGTTAATAAATATTTATTTATTTATTTATTTAAATATTTATTTCACCCCATTCATTTCACTTCATCTCATTTCAATTCATTTCACTTCATGTCATGCCATGTTTCATATTAATCAGTTTAATTTCATTTCATAATATCATATTTCATAAAAAAATATATTACAAAAGATTAGGCTGTATGGTGTGATACCTTTTTACCTTTCTATTTGGAAAAATAAAACTACTACTACTAAAATAATGACGTTTGACAGTTTTGTTTCAGAACGAACGCCTCGTCAGCCAATATTAGCCATTATTCCGTTCGCGGCAGCCATCATTGATCTTGTTGAACAGAAAAATGGCGAAAGTCAGAATTGCCGCCGTCGTCACATGTATGCCGGTTAAATTGCAAAAAACTGATGTCAGTTACTTAATGTTTACTCGTACTATTCCATAAGTTTAAGGATCAGGCGATCATAAAATAGCTGCACACGTTTTATAGCAGTTCCCAGCGTAGCATTCGATGTCAGCGGTTCCTAGAAAAAGATGGCTAAATTCGATTCATCGATCACAGATGAGGTTAGTATTGTTCAATTTTATTTTTAACACTTGTCGTTCAGCCAAAATATTACATGCCATGGTAGCACGACGCAATTTGCCGGTGACCAAGTATTGTATCGGCGTAATCAATTTGCTTTGTTCGGCACATCCACGTGCCTTCCGCCATTTGGCAGTTTTATCGTTGAATTTACATAAAATGTAACACATTTGACAGATTAAATAATCGCTTTAAACGTAAATTTCTTCGTATTAAACAGTAACACGTGTGGAAAATACAAAAATACCGAATGAGAAGAGTTGGTGGCGTGGTCGAGAGAACTGTTTCCTTGTTCCGGCAACGCGGTGCTCCCAACCAATGACTGAGTTCGTCGAAGGCTGGGTTGTCGCGCAGGTGCTTGGTGAAGGCGCCTATGGAGAGTGAGTTCTCATCTATCCACTATCTAGATGCCGGATTCATCTTAACCACTAACGATCACGACAGCTCAGTATCAGCTGATTTGAGTATATACAGTATAAGACCAGAACCAGAAAAGTATTACTTATATGTAAGGGTGTATGTGCAATAAATAACAAAATAATTTAAACAATCCTGATTTAAATTCACTACAAAATACTTAGCAATTAACAATATTTTTTATAGTCACTGTGTTGACAGTTTTATACAGTCTTTATAAGCATTTGGTGGTGCTGATGTTCTTTATTGTGTTATTCATTTACTGAATCCCAGTCACCACAAGATTAATGTTTGGTGAGACATTGTTGTCTGAAGACCTTAGTCAGTCTCGTAAACTACAATCTTTGATAGAAACTGATAAATTATAATATTGTCAGGAGGATATTACTTTTCCCACTGTAATGGAAAAACAAGCTAAGTACTTGGAGATTGAGAAGAAACTAAAAAAAAATTCAAAAAATGAAAATGAAAAACTGATCACTTCATTAAAAAAAGAAAATTGAAATTGAGCCTAAAATTATTAATACTTTGATATGTAACACTTATATATATTTAGTTTGATAGAAAATCATGTAGCCCATTGGATGCTAAAATCCAACTTTAGGCCACAAACTTAAAATGACTTCTAGGGCATACCTTACCTTATTATATAAGCTCAAAGTCCATGTCGAATCTAATGTATCCTTCACAGTAAGATCTCATTCTTGCAGTAATACACAGTGCAGTAGTGTTCTATTACCTCCAGTATTTTATTGCTTTCAATAGCAAGTGTGCTTAGCTTAAAGATGCAGTGTAGACCATGAGCATTGGTTATCATAGGCTACATCTTCACAAGATCAGGATATCATTCACCCAGATCAACAATATTATTGGCACAACTAAGTACCTACTGAAGAGGTGGTAGTGAAGTTATATGGATTTGATAAATAAGTTGGACTCCAATGAGTAGTTGAATAATGAACAAAGGACTGGTTAGGGTTCGGCTGCTGGTACACGGCGCGTCGGGCGCGGCGGTGGCGGTGAAGGCGGCCCAGGGCTCGGGCGGCGCGCGGGAGGCAGCCCTGCAGCGCGCGCTGCGGCACCCCCACGTGCTGCGCTGTTTGGGCGAGCGCACGCATCTGCAACATCACTACGTGTTCCTAGAGTACGCGCAGGGCGGCGAGCTCTTCGACAGAATCGGTGAGTGCCACTCCCCCCCCGACCCCCTCCGCCTCAGCCGGCTCGGCAGAACGTGACCGCGTTTTTTGCTCTACACAGGCCGTTGACGCGTTCGATCAGCTTATTGTGCATTTTTTGCGACCTGTTTCTTTTAACTCAAAGATTGATCAAAATTATAATTTACTAGATGCCAGTCTATTTGTTTGAATAAATTAAAACTGAGTAAAAATGTACTTTAGCAAATGTCACTTTCATGTGACTTTTTATGAAATACAAATAAAAGAAAGTATGACTATCTATTGCAGTTGTTTTTATTATCACATTCTATAATCATTATATATTTTGTTAATGTTTACATATCGACGCTTGAAAGGCAAACGTGACTAAGCGACAATGCGTGAACTTTACAGTAGACTAATATAAAGTTGAAATACCTGAAAAAAATTATATTTTAACGAATCTAGCTGTAGGATTGAAATTATTTTAATAGCCCTAGAAATATATATTTTTTGGGCATCGAATATGGTTATTGCCTATCATTTATGTACAAAGCAGTTATTGTCGCTTAGTCAAGTTTGCCTTTCAAACGTTGATATTATTTTAAGCTTTTGTAGTTTCCTACATTATAAATACTTTTACCCATCAAAATATGCATGTAAATAAAAATGAGAATGTTCACATTATGTTTGTGCTCTATATTCCTAAGAGATTCATTTGATTATGACGAAACCCCAGTAAGGGGTGTTACAGTACCACCAAGGCCTGAAAGGTATGCGGGTAGTTTAAAAAGTTTTATTTTTGATATGATTAGCGAGTCACAGCAGTTGGGACCGGGTGCCACTAACTTGAAATATTGGTATCTCAACAATATGTAGAAAACCCATTTTTAAAAATAAAAACAATTGTAATTTAAATTTTACAACATGTCGTATTTAACTGAATAACAATATTAATAATAATATATATAGATATGAATATGAGTATTGTACTGGATTGGTAGGCTCCCTCACCTCTACTAGCATAATATAACAATCCATTGGATAAGTTAAATGCTGTCGCTTTTGTAAGTTCAAGAGAGCACATGATAATATTTGATATGAGCATTCTCTAAAATAGATTAAAAATTTTTGATAGAGAATGATACGACATAAGCTGCAAAAAAAAAAACAACAAATGTGCGTAATGGACACAGTGTCTATAAGAGTAAGTACCACAAAATGATTTAAGTGATCACAGTTGAAAATTTTGATGTAAAGAGGGCATATTAGTCGTTACAATACATCTGAATAGTTAGAGACCATAAAGCAGTTTGAACCCATTGGAATGAGTCTCCATATAAAGAAAATTGCCTTGAAGATTGCCCACGCAAGCATAATGAAGAGACCAAATGAATTGTGTACTTGTTTGACATTTTCCATTGAAATGTATTAAAATCGAACCTTTTTGATTGATCACTGGTAATGTAAACTGGATTACCTACCACAAACACATGGCAGACACATGCCACTCGACAAATAGAGCGCTTGCACTTTCACCAGCTTCAGATTTTCACCAGCTTCTATGCGTTCGGCATTCTTTCGGTAGTCTTAGCATAACATCAAGAGAGGACTGAAAACCAACAATTCTTAACTAATGGGATTATATGGGATACTCTACCTACAAAGTGGCACATATATATTAAAATATTTAAAATGCAAGTAGACCCCCCGGTCTATAGAGCTGTTTCAGATTTGTGTCAATTCTTTTCGGTCTGGTTTTTGCTGATAGACAAACTTTAATTCTGTACTGCACATATTTCGCTTTCGTCCTACACAACTACGATACAAAAATACCCAGAATTTGTAAATAAACACACACAAAATATCTTTTTGACCTATGATATATGTATTTATATTTTTCATAATGACAAATCAGTAATTGTCTCGAAATTCTACCATAAGTGAACATGTATAATATAAAATAACAGAAACAGAAGAAATTGTATTCCTTGGGTTTTGAAGAAAGCTTCGATTTTCTTTATTGTTGAAGTTATACTTCTTCAGGCGCGTTATGAAAAATTGATGAGAGTGAAATTTTACGATGCACGCGCACCGTGACACAAAATTAACAGAATGAAGTTGCCCACTAAATCGGTCATTACAATACGACCGACGTAACTTGGCGAGTCTGAATATAGCCGCAGGTGAATTTTCCGAACCGTACCGAGAATTACCGAATTTATACGATGTCAAGAAAAATGATGTCCAATATGCGTGTTTGAGGATGTTGTATAATCGATTTTTTTTCAAATTGATTAAAATTTAAATTAAAAAAAAAGAAATAAATTTAAAAATAAAGTATAATGTAATACACGCGTACGTAAGTACACGCACCCTTTTTTTTAATGTTTTCAATCTGAATCCAATGCTAGTACTAGGTAGGTGATGCTCGAATAAATCATTAATCAAGACATCTTATCTTTTGAATATTTGAATATTCAATAAAAAAATTGCTCAAGGGATGAAGACTTTCATTGTCAAAATTATAAACACAATCTGCCCGGTCGACAGAGCCCGACGTGGGCATGGACAGCGACACTGCCCGGCGCTACTGGCGCGAGACGCTGAGCGGCCTGGAGTACCTGCACGCGCGCGGCGTGGCGCACCGCGACATCAAGCCCGAGAACCTACTGCTCGACCACCACGACCGCGTCAAGATCTCCGACTTTGGCCTGGCCACCGTGTTCCGGCACGGCGGCCGCGAGCGCATGCTGTCCCGCGTGTGCGGCACCCCGCCCTACGCCGCGCCCGAGGTGCTGTCCGCCGCCCAGCGCCCCTACCGCGCCGCGCCCGCCGACCTGTGGTCCGCCGCCGTCGTGCTCGTCGCCATGCTCGCCGGCGGTACGTACCCGCGCCGCCCCGCCCTCACCCCCGCCGCCCCGCCCTCACCCCCGCCCCCAGCGCCCCTACCGCGCCGCGCCCGCCGACCTGTGGTCCGCCGCCGTCGTGCTCGTCGCCATGCTCGCCGGCGGTACGTACCCGCCCCGCCCCCACCCCCGCCCCCCGCAGCAGCGCGCCGAGGGTCGCGGGCCGTCTCTTTGGTATCCTAGCTGTAGGCGTGCGCGGCCCTAAAGTTATGGTACCGAAGTTACGGCTCGTGACGTATCAGTCGACGCCCGGCCCGGCGACTTCGTCGTGCGCTCGTGTGGTAAGTTGGAAGAAATTTATAGCTATTGAATAAGAAAACCTGTATCAGTTGATTAACACGTGTTTGTTGTCTTTTTAAAACTAGAACAGAGTAGTGTCTCCTCATGTTTAGTTGGGCAATTAGGGCATCCGAGCGCAAGAAAATAAACGCATTTGAAATGTGTTGTTGGAGACGAATGCTCCGAATTCCGTGGACAGTCAAGAGGACAAATCCGAGTCAGGCTCTCAACAATCTGTTACCAGAGGATCCTCTGCTACTTCGGTCACATTGTCCGCCGACAGTCAGATAGCTTGGACAAAATGATTGTGACGGGCCAACTAGAAGGAAAGAGACCCCGCAGCCGATCACCTAGCCGCTGGTGTCATTAAATAACCGCCCTAACTGTGCTGCCAGTCGCAACCGCCATTCGAGAAGCTGAGGACCGGCTGGAGCGGAAACAGCTCACGAGACAAGCACCGGTTAGGTTTCAGGGACACGACCTTCAGTAATGAAGAATGCCGGGAGCAGCGCCCTGCGCGAGCCCGCACTGCTGCTATGTAAAGCACAAGTCCTTGTCCAGACGTGACGTACGGCTTCGCTGTACGTTTTAGATACTAACTTGGCTTTACTCTCAACTGATTCCAATGTTGACCACCGCTCGAAAAGTCGATCCCTAGAATCCCCGAGAGGCTCTGAAGGTTTTAGGGAATATGCAGTGGAATTTCGGCGCCATATTAAAAAGAATCCTTCACCGTCGCTAATCAGCTGGTCATCGTTAAGGCGGTACCCCTGGAGCTACATGTTAATTACCCGCTCAAGCATCGTGTCCTCATGTTCGTAAACTATTTTGTATTATTGTGCGATAACACTATTTGTAATATGTATCAATCAACGTCTGGTTGAGGGAGATTATAGAACGGCATGATGACGTTATCGTTAAATGACGTATACAGAATTGCCGTGGGAGCGTGCGTCGCATTCGGACGCGCGGTACGCGGCTTGGGTGGCGGGCGCGGCGGGCGCGGCGGACTCGGCGAAGGCGGGCGCGCCGTGGCACAAGCTGCCGCTGCGGTGCGCGTCGCTACTGCGTGCGGCACTGCACCCCGACCCCGCGCGGCGCCCCGCTCTGGCCGACGTGCTCGCGCACCCCTGGACCAGGGACCGCACCTCAGGTCGGTACCCACCTCCGTCTAACGGTAGTAATGCGCAACTACATATAAATTTGAAAATTTATGTTTTTACTCAATTATACATAAATGGCTAAATAGGTTAGATGAAAAGTAAATTTTGTTCAAAGATAGTGTTATAGTCTGGGTAACATCAACACATGCGGTTGTACCTGTTAGTGGTGCTGTAGTAAAGTATCTACTGTCGACTGGTAGTCGCTGGGCGCAGCGTCACACGAGCAACTGTACCCCGGGACAACTGGACAAGTTTCATCATTCTGGATCCCGCCCAGTCCGGCTCGTCTAGTGCTATATGAATCTAATACCTGAATGTGTCATATTCTTTTAATCGGTATTTATACGCGCTGTCTGTGTGATCTGAGATTGTATATAGTTGACGGAATGTTTTGTGACAATGACATCTTCCGACAGCTGGCGCGACCTTATGTTTAACAATTGAGTGTTTTTGAGATGCAGAGTAAGGCACGGCGGCTCCACCAGTAGTTACTCATAAGGTTCCACAATGGAGTTCTGAACCTATGATTGGGTAACAAACAAATTAGAAACTAGGACATGGCTAAATTCTATTTACTTGAGTTCATATTACAAGTAATCGCAGTAGACATTACTACTGTTATTTAATCGTTTTGCTGTGTGGAACTCGTCGCCGCGGGAGACGGAGGCGGGCGGCCGCCTCAGGTACTAGGTGACTCTGAGTGGTGCCGGTCTCAGAGCCGCCTCGTGCCTCAGCGCGGCCTCCGCCGACACGTCCGCCGCACCCGCCGCACCCGCCGCGCCTGCCGCATCCGCCGAGCCTGCCGCATCCGCCGCGCCTGCCGCATCTGCCGCGCCTGCCGCATCCGCCGCCGGGCGCGCTGCGACGCTTTGGCGATTTAGCTCCGTGACATCATTCCGTTCATAAAGCTAGATTACCAAAGCATCGCGTCGCGCCGTCTCAACGCCACTGCCGCCGTACGGGAGGAGACCGTTCGACACCGGGGGGTACTGATTCTTAGGACCAAAAAGTAATCCCGGGCAGTTTCCGGATAATAAGCGGGGCTGGTTTCTCAGGACCTTTGAGGGAGGAACCTCGCGCGTGGTGCTCGCAGCCGTCCTGCGGCCCGGGGCCCGCCTCGCCCGACGAGCTGTCGCAGGACGACATGGAGGCGCTGCTGTGGCACTCGCAGCCCGCGCACGCCGACGAGCTCGTGGTGGAGGCGGCCGTGTCGCAGCGGCTGGTGCGGCGCCGGACGCGCGTGTGGCTGCGCTGCGGCGCGCGCGAGGCGCTGGCGGCGCTGGAGGAGGCGGCGCGGGCGGCGGGGCTGGCGGTGC